CATAATTTTGAGATGAATCTTTCTTCTTTTTCATAGTCACCCTTGGGTGTTGCATCACACAGGGTGAACCTATTCTGTAAAGCCATTAGAGACAAGGCGATCAGTCCAGTTCAGGAGCAGCAGAAGGCTTTTCTCATCAGTTTTTATGATAGATGCTTATCTCCAAATATTACTTAGGCACCTGATGAGCTGACTGGTTTTGTGCAACAAATCCATTTCAGTGAGAAGTAAAATTCAGTAAATGTTTCACATAATCTTCTTTAATAACGACTAGTGGATTTTAATTTAATGTGTCACTTCTAAAAGTTTGAGGGGGAAACAGGGACACTTTATTTTTGAAAATGATCACAGTGCAATCATTTACATGTAGAAGTGCAATGTTGTTTCTCAAAATGGCCATATCACACACATGGTATGTGTGCTCACTCAGATATGTACCGCTCACTTGCGAAAGGAAATGTGTTGCATAGGTTTTATAAAATTACTATTATGGTCATGATTAATGATTTTGTTATCCGAGCAGTGAAACCACAAGACTTCACAACCGCCATAGCAATCACAGAGCTCTAGTACGTGCAGCATGAATTTCTCTAATTGAGTATTTGAGGGCATGTTGAAACAGAGTTTCTTACCGGACTCTCTGTTCCAACAACTCTAGTTTTGGGTTCATTTCTCTTATGTGGCTACTGGGCATGTTTTCAGTAGTTTCCTCCTCAAAAACAAATACTGGGGCTGGATTGGTTTCAACAGGCTTTAGAGGAAGACAGTATTTCTCTGACAGACTGGTGGCTCGATGGTTTAGGACATGTTTTTCCATTGGTGAGATAGCCTGCCTCTGGAGACCGTGTCCTTTATAGATGTATTCCTGTAGGCAAGTGTGTTGTATTTGGGTGACCTGCAGCAAACCTCTCATATCTCCTCCCCTTCACCATCCTCCCCAAAATTTTCACTGCTATGCTGGTGGTAGAAGATCCCAGCCAAGATGCATCGTGATATGGGGAACAGAAGTTGCTCCTTACTTCCATCACTCACAAAAGCTTGCCGTCATCGGTTCATAGTGGCACTTGGCTGAAGATGAGAGTGCCTCTTATTTGAGAACATGCCTGATTTTCACCAGTCACCAAGTCCAGGTTCAGTCCCAGGGGAGTGGTACAGTATGCTTTTGAAGGCCTGAGCTTTATCATGCTTTTTATCCTTGGTCACTTATTTTCTTCTGAGCATTGCCATATGGCTTCTTGAACCATGTTTTAACTATGGGCTCTGTCAGAAATCCTTCTGTTTGAACATTATCTGAGCCTGTTCCAGTGAATACCTTGTGATCTTCTCTTCTGAAGGATACCAGAAGAATAATACCTTCTTGTTCATGTTCCTATGGGACTCATAGTTCAGTAAACTCCTCTCCCTATCTTCATGGTACCTTCCATCATCTCTTTTTCCAGGCTGGAGAGACCCAGGCTATTTACTTAGCTGTTGTTGGGAAGCTGTCCCATGTCCTCGATTGTCCTGACCGTGAGTCTGTGAACTTGCCGTGGTGGAAATACCCTTTTATTGACACAGGGTGGAGGTGGGTGCCAGAACCACAGACAGATTGGGGAAGCACAACAGATACATGAAACGCCTTGATGATCATCTTTGGTGCTGCTGCCTTTATTTTTTTATCTGTTGCTGAGCCACCAAGCTGACACTGTCACAAGGCTGTCTGTTTTAACCCCAAGACCTCTTCCCTGAGCAACAGTAGCTGGCTCAGAGTGCATCATTGTACATGTCAGATCAAGGTGTTTCCATCACTTTGCATTTTAGGGGTAATTTTTTTTTTTTTTTTTAATTAACATCCAGTCCCTCAGCATTGTGAGATTCTTACATTTTCAGGGTCAGTGTTCATTTTTACTCCCTTGAATAGCTTAAGTTTCTTTAGAAAACTGTGTAGTCTTGTTCACCTCTCTTCAGATCATTGATGAGTATGCTCACTGGCACAGGTGAGGTCCTTGTGGGATTCATTAGTGACCTTCTTCTTGGGAGGGGGGTATTTTCTACCTTTTTTTCCCCCCAGTTTTCAAACTGTTCATTCCTATATGTCAAGAGCCTTCTCTCTTCTACAGAAGTTTGAAGCTTCAGTGGGGGACCTTGCTGGAAAGCAACAGTGCTTAGCCCAGCCCAATGGTCAGCAAAGTAACCCTGCAGCCACTGCATTTGTCAACCATTGCCTTTAGTGTCACCAACCAGGAGGCAGCATGAACTTTTTCACAGACGAGTGAGCAGAGACCTAGTATCGGATAGCTTGCTTTCTCCCTTTCTGAGTGCTTAGAGTGTTTGTGTTGGCAAACTGCCCCTCTAATCTGAGGACATTGAACATGGAAATGCAGCAATTTTTAATAAGGTGAAAGCAGAGGCCAGAGCCACAGCCTCTGTGGTATGCTGCAAACAGGTTTTGTAGCCATGTCAACACATGTGGAGGAGAGGCTCAGTTGCTCCAACGGGTCTGAAGGAGAATAAGGTGTGGAGTAAAGCAAGGGTAGTTAAGAATCAGGCAAGATAAAAATCACTACAGCCTCTTTTCCAGTTGCAGCAATACTGCCTTCCCCGAGAGCAGCAAATAGCATGCTGCTTGGAGGGCTGGGTATAGCTCCCAGCTGCACCGCTGAGATTATCTAGCAGTTACATTCATTCTGGGATTTTTATTTTCATCGAGGAGAGTGAAGGGGGGTTGCAGGCCAGTATGTGCTATCTTCTCCAGTTGGGTAATTTTCCCAGGCTTTGTTATTTTGATCATGAGCACCCGTGACATTTTCGGAGTGTATCGACAAAAGGCTTGTCCCAGCAGGGCTCAGCCTCAGTTCCAGTGAAGGTGAAGGGTCCTGCTGGCTGGCACTGGCACTGTGTTATGGCCCTGCCTCCTTTTTGGTTCATGCCAGTCAAAGTTTAACTTTGAGGGCATGCTGCAGGCTGAGGCTGCCCAGGCTATGGGGTGTATGCCTTTCTGTTGTTGTTCTGAGAAGCTTAAATTACAGCTCGGTATCTGGGTTTGCGCCGCATACAGCACTGCGTAAAGGTACTCCTGTGAGGGAGGTGGCTGTTGTAACTAAATCGTAACTCTTATCAGGTTTTCCAAATAGACTGGAAGCTTAATGTTACTATGAAGTACTTGCTTGCAGAAGCTGCTTTCTTTCTTTTGAAATGTCCCCAAAATGTGATAGATGTTGTAGGACCTAAAGTTACTGGCACAAGAATTAGCTTTGAATTTAAAGATTTGAATTTAAAGAAATTGAATTGAAATGCCTTTGTCTAAGAAGTTATGAAGACTTGGCTGATGAAACCGCTTTTCAAAAACAGCCTGAATATCCAGTTAGTTACATTTTAGAGGCGATGTTAACTAATCTTAAGAGTTGTTCTACTTCTAGGTACTTGTTTAAAAAAAAAAAAAGCCAACCAAAACAAACACATACATTAAAAGTCTGTTCCTAGTGGGTGGGTCAGCCATTCAAAACTCATCCTGCTTGTTGTACCTCTCAGATAACCCAGCTTGGCTTTACATTACATTGCAAATAGAACTGTATATTTGCTTTCAACAAAGTAAATTGGGAGTTCAGTGCTTTTAAGTGCTATACTGGTTAAAGAGGATCAACATCTGTTTTGTGTTGTAAATGCTTTAAGGTGTGCTTACAGTTGGACAGAGTCTTACAGAGTGTTGTTTTTCAGAATAAATAAATATCCACAGTGAGTATTCTTGTATTCTTGGAGTAAGAGACGTGTCTAGTACGATTCATTGGAAAATAATATTTAGACAGTGCATTCTTGACAAGGAGAGGAGGTTTTTCAGGTAAAACCAGTCTTCTCCCACTACCGATACAACTTTTCTCTGCTCTTGAGGTTGTGTCTCTAGCTGACTGTTGTGACAAATGGAGACCTTTCCCTGGGACTTGTTATCGCTGCAGCACAGCTTATTAGTTAAAGGGGGACAGAGACTCTTCTTAGTTCAAAGCACCAATATTTTAGGCGCTTGCAACATTACAGCTCTTCTGATCATTGTGCATGGAGGCTCTTTTTCCTGCTTCTGATCTGATAGTGCATTTAATAGCTCTCACGTGATATTCATGGTAATATGAAAAAGTCTAACCAATCTATGAAAGGAACTAATGGGCAAAATCCTGAATGTCTAGATACTGTATGGAAAATATTTTGACCGAGGATGGCTAAGACTGGTACCCCACTGTGTATTTCTCTAGGAGGAGAAATACATGTATGAAGAAGCTGTATGTATTGGCAACAGCATGTTACTGATTTCATGATTGTTGTTGTGTAATGACGTAACTAATTAACCTAAAGAAAGTGCTCACAGTGAGCCAGGAATGTATAAAAACACAAGTAGCATTCATTGCACATTAGAGATTAGTGACAAAACAAGAGGAAAAAAAAAACCGAAGTGTTTAAAGGAAAGCTGAGTATTCAAGTAGCCTGTGATGAACTGGAGCTTGGTGAGTGTTCAGAGAGGAACATGTAAAGGAGTTTTTGACTAAATGGGATGCCTGCAGGTTAACAAAATTGCCAGTATTTTTGTAGCCCGGGTAACTAGTGGGGTACAGCCTGGGCACACAGATGTGCTGCTGTTTGAGTCTTCCTACAGGACTTACACAGTTGCATCATTTGACGGAGTTTGACTTTGCTCTTCAGAGGTAGCTTCCAGTGTGAACGCTCATCAACCTGCAATGCCCAGTATAACAAATAACATGCCAAGCGAATACGAGTGGTGTTGGTGAATATGTCATGGGTAGGCTATGGCATATTATTTTTCCATGTGTGTGGCGACACCTTTTATGGCCTGGTAACAGATCTGCCTCTTTCAAGTATTTTACGTGAAACTTTATGAAGCTGCCTGCTGTCAGGTGTTGCCAGTATTGCAGGTTTGCACAAAGTCAGTGAGTGGCAAAACGTCTCTTTTAATACAGTGTGCAGTAACAGCTGTATGTATGCTGATTTCCCCCCCCCCTTTCCATTTCAAACAGAATGCTACAGATAGCTCCTCTAACTCCTCTCAAAAAAGGGAACAGCCTGTGCGAACTCTGGCTTCTCCTGCATCCTGCGAACATCGAAGAATTTGCACTCGTGGACACCTTCACGACCATTATAGCTCTGACCACTACCATCTAGATCAAGTAAGGTTTCTTCCCAGCGTTGCCACCTAAAGGGCTGTGTCTGCCATAGCTAAGGCTGGTGGTTGGTTTTCCCCCTACATCCCTGAAAGACCCCCTCTTCCTTTCTCCCCCTTTCCTTCTCACTTAGCTTTAAATCACTTCCAATTACTAAAAAAAAAAAAAAAAAAAAAAAAAGGTTTTACACTGTAATTTGATATGATACGTTGTACCATGTGCACACAGACCATTGTGAGTCTGTGACAGTGGTACTGATTGCCAAGCCAAAGGCTGAAACTCTGTGATGGGTCATGGTGAAGGGTGTACAAAGAAGGAAAGACAAAATGGTTAAATACTGACTTTTCACTAAGCAAGGAGACAGTGATTGCTGATGAGTGAGCTTATTTATCTTTTCTCCCTCTTCACCTTCATCCCTACTTCCACAGTCAGTACCACGATCCTACCGGCACGTCAACTTTCCAGATGATGATGAGGAGATAGTGCGCATCAATCCTCGGGAAAAGATTTGGATGACTGGATACGAGGACTATCGCCATGCCCCAGCACGAGGAAAGAACTTTGATCATGATGACATGGACTCCTATGTACGTTTCGCCAAAAGCGAGGCCTCAAAACACGAATACACTTACCCTTATGTAGACAACTCAGACTTTGACCTGGGTGAAGATATCAAGGGTGCTGTGATAAAGACTCAACCTGTCAAATTCAAGCCCAGGCGGAAGGAAGATGGTGAGAGGTCACGGTGCGTGTACTGCAGGGACATGTTCAATCATGAGGAGAACAAACGGGGTCAATGCCAGGATGCTCCAGACCGCGTCAAGACTTGCATCCATCGAGTGAGCTGTATGTGGTGCGCAGACACTATGCTCTATCACTGTATGTCCGATCCAGAAGGAGACTATACAGATCCTTGCTCGTGTGACACCAGTGATGAAATGTTTTGCCTCCGGTGGATGGCCCTTATCGCCTTGTCTTTCATTGCTCCATGTATGTGCTGTTACTTGCCGCTTCGGGCTTGTTACCACTGTGGGGTCATGTGCAGGTGCTGTGGTGGAAAACATAAAGCTGCTGGATGACTACAGATGCATTTGAAGTGTTACGTTTTTTCCTGTAGTTCAAGGAACACGTTGGTTTTGGAGCATTGAGATCACTTATTTTGATGCAGCCACTGTGCCCAACAGCATCCAGAAGCCACCAGTTTGGATCACTTTACATTGTCGTCTGGGGCTCACGCTGCATTGATTTGCTCATCAAGTGTTCTAACTAACTAACCTACAGCATAGACTTTTGTATTATTAATCTGTAATCAAAACAGACTGTCTTGTACATGGGTTTTGGGTTGGCTTTTTTTTTTTTTTTTTTTTTTTTTTTTTTTTTTCCAGGTTGTGTCCGTCTTGCCTCTGCTTGTGCGGTACCATCAGCGTGTTAGCAAGCTTTGGCATTTCTAGAAACGGGGTGGTGTAGTGAATGAAATCTCACTTGGAAGATATTTTAACTTGCAGTCGAGTTATTGTGTGTGTATAGAAGGTGTGCTAGTAACAAACTTGTACCACAACACAGTATTTCTGTCACTGGTATTCTTTGGGTTTTTTGTTCTGTTTTCCAAAGCCAAAATAGCCATCTAAGCTGCAGTTCCTCTTCTAGAGTCCATTGTCATTTCCTTCAGCAAACATCATAAATTATTTCTCTGTTCATAAAGCTCTGTGAACAGAAAGCAAGGCTCAGTTACCATAGTCACATAACCATTGAGAATCTGGTAGTTCTCCTTACCTGTAATCATTTCAGACCACTACGTGAAAGGGAAACTTAAATTTTAGGGTTTTCTTTTTTCCCTAAATAACATTGAAAAAATAAAACTGTCTTTTCTGCCCAAAAGAAAGGGAACTTCTTCATTAGCCAGCCATGTAATGATCTGTGAATAAAACACTAAGGTTCCAGATGAGGAAAATTGTTGTTATGCAAAGAATTTTTAACAATGCAACGTCAAAAGCACTATCATGGCAATTCTGGGGAAATGCTGCATTAAGTGGTGGATTGTATGGAAAATTGTATTTGTTTGTTTGTTTTCTGTATAAAACATGAGCATGAGAACATACGCGTCCACGGTAGAAACTACATTTAGCAATCTAAACAGGTATTTTAAATCAAGAGCCAGGATGTTAACCACCACTTCCATTTCCTGACCTCCAGATGCTTACACGTGTCTTGACGTATTGCACGTGCAACAGGCGTTTCTGTGAGTTTGCGTCTAGGATTAAGCATGTGAGTCTTTGCAGGAGCCAGACTGAAGCAAGTCCCTGGCTTTCCCCTCCCCAGTTCACCACCCAGATTTATCAAGTGGATGCAGAAGGTGCATACAGCAGGATAAGATTACTTTAATTTTTTTTTTTTTATTTTTTTTAAATGTCATGTTGTCTTGTGTACAAGGCTTGTAATTAGCTTGGAAAAAGAGTATTTTTCTAATATATTACAAGGAATAGCCAAATAATTTTTATTAAAAAAAAATAAAAATGATTTAGCGCAGTGAGCTCTAACTAGCATAGTACAATCCGAATACTTTGAGGCAGCTAGGGATTGGCTTGTCAAACTGGCACTGCTGTTCCTGCCATAATTTCTTTCTGCAGTAAATTGCCAGTGGGCGCATGTCCTTTCCCTCCCTCTATTGCACATTGACATCAGTCTTAAAAGAGAGGATTTTTTTTTTTTTATTATTATTATTAATTTGCCAAATAAATGTAAAAGGAACACTTGCCATTCTTTCTTGGTGGAATGTCCCAACGGTTCCTCTGAGAGTTAATCACAGCTTTTTAGTCAACCATTAATTAAGTATGCAATGTGCTTATACACTATAGAGTTTGGTAGGCTTAATTCATAGCAGTTGCTGGGGATTTTTTCGGTTGGGAAAAAGAAAAAAAAAAGAATGATAGTGGAAAAGGGATGGAGTGTTACACTCTGGGTGATGTGTCTTGGTTTGCTGAATGAAATATAAATATTTTGTGCCTAATAGCAGTTGACAAATCTCTCAATGGTGTCTAGTAAACATCAAGCCAGCCTCGGAAAAATAAATAAATTAATGGAAAAACCTTTTCCTTTTATTTCTGTTTTTTTCATGTAAACAAACATCTGTAAGATCTTCTCTCTATAAAGCACAACACTACAAAAAGATCTTACAGCTTTTTGTCCGGTCTTGAAGTGCCCCTATTTATTTAAGTAAGTAGACATACTCCAAGCCTTTCTGTATGTCTGGAAATAAAAGTTTTAAAAAAAGAAAAAAATCCCTCTTTTTTTTTTTTTTTTTTTTTTTCCCCTTCCTCCCTCTTCTCTTGGGTTTTTGTAATACTTGTAGATTTTGCTGCGTGTGTTATTTGGTTTGTGAAGGCAGTGGTGTAAGGGCACAATGATAGAAATGGGTGTTTTTTTGTAAATATTTCTCCTTAATTTCCACACTGCTGCTGAACAGTGTGTAGCGTTCTCCCAGTCAGCTTTGCAATACTGACATCAATCATTTGAGAGAAAATATTCAGATTTTATTTTTGTATCTGTGGTAACAAAACATTAACCAAATTTTTTTTTTTTCCTGTTGTGGAAAGTTTTTTCTTGTTTGTTTTTTCTCCAAGCTATCGCTCACGTTAACAAATTAAAGTGCCTGAAGCCTCATCATTATTCTATCTATATACTAAAAGTTAAAACTCTGTTGTATTGATTTTTATAAGCCTTTTTACCTCTGTGTAAAAAAAAAAATATATATACAAGTGTATGATGTACATTTTAGTTCTTAACTTCTTTTTTTATTGTTTCTAATATGTATGATCAGTGTAGCTATTGCTTTAAAATGTACCATGTAAATATAAATACATCATATCAAAATGACACTGGTGGTTGTTGTTTGGCTGGCTGGAAAATGAGGGGAAAAACAAAACGGTGCTGGGAAACACAGGGCCATTTCTGGAAATACATCCTCAAGACCTTGGGATTTCTGAGTTTGTTTTACATGGGGTTTTTTATGGGTTTATTTTACATTTTTCACTGGTGAATGCTGCTAACCTTGGGCATGGGCCATACTCGACCAAATGCAGTGGAGAACATGAGAGGAGGTGTTTTTTTCCACTTTTTTTTTAGTGGTTTTCAGGTGTTTTGCACACTTTGGAGGAGGATGCCCCCAGGGCAGCCTGGTCTGCCGGTGCTGTGCCCCAGGAGGCCCTGGCAGCTATGCCAGTGGCTGAGATTCCCCTCCCGCCATCCCTTCTCTTCTCCCTGGGCCCTCAACCCATGCGCTGCTTTGGGCTGGGCTAAATGTGCTGTGGGAACTTATTTTGTTTTGGTTCGCTCAAGCAGAGCAGCCCCAAAGAAAAGGGGAAAGCAGAGAGGAAGGCTGACAGACACGGCTGCCGCGTGAGGGCCACCTCGCTTTTTGAGGTCATACAGTGGGAGTTTGCCGGGCTGGCTGGATGCCGCTGCCACCGCTGAGGAGAGACGCCTGGGGTGGCTGGCACTGCTGTCCCTGCTCAGAGAGGTTGGACTTGGAAGATGGAAAAGGAGTAACCCAGTTAAAAAGGACACCAGGCTGAAGCCGATCAACAGCAAACCGGAGAAAAAAGAGTGAGTATATCTGAATTTTTAGTTATTTTTAATGGGAGCTAGTCGGGCCACTACCACACACTTCTGAGAAGCCCAGTTTTATTTTTCTGTGGGTAAGTGAGAACATAACCAAGATGCTAACACAACCAAGCTGTTGCTCCTTTTCTTCTGTGTGCCGCTTTTTGTTTCACTGCTGAACGGCGAAGCTGCATCGAGCAGCATGGAAGAGGGGAGACAAGAAGCATGCACACCAGACTACATTTCTTATAAAAGGTTTGCTCCCTGCAATGGCAGGGCTTGGTGTGATCTGCGCCCACCCAGCACATGGGGTGACGTGGTTGTTTAAAGTAACCTCGATGTTTAATTCGCCACAGCTTTGCTGAGATCCTGAGTCCACTTTCACTTTTTACTGGTTTATATTTGTATTTACATGTATCTAGAAATATTATATGCTTACACAAACAGATTTCTGTTTACATTTATTAGACAACTGTATGTTTGTTACTCATTATTTAAAAGACTTTGCAGGCCTCATGAGAAACACGTGTGCCCTGCGGGTCAGGTGTTGTGTTCAGGACTCTGTTGAATAATTACGTTAGGAAGACTTGAACACTCTTCCCTGGCCATTTGAATTCTGCTTGTCCCACAGAAGTCCTGGCTAAGCCACATATCTTCCTGCAGCCTACAACATCATCTTGCTTTCATGTGTGAATCAAAAGGGTTGCTTATGCCTGGAGATTTCTAATCTGAACCAGTAAGTGGTACATTTCAGCCCTGGATCAGTGGAAAATGCAAACACCATCGAGACACAAGGCACCAGGAAAGGCAATCAACCTTCTGCAGCCTTATCAATGCAGAGGTCCCGGACTTACTCCCGCGGATCATCTGGGAAGGGTACTGTCATTTTGGCAGGATGCAACCAAGGAGATTGAGTTTGCAGAACACACAGATACTGTAAGCTTGCAACCACATGAAACAAGGTTGAATATTTTATGGCTTTAAAAAAAAATAAATCTATTTCACTAGTAAATGTAATACAAATTGCATTTTAAAATAATGTCCTTTCACCCAGGCTGAGTTTTGGGCACTGACAAATGCAGTTTGGCATTTTATAGCAAAGAGACTTGACACCAAATGTGCTGCTACCATTGCCTGGGTCAGAACGGCTCTCCTGGCCTGTCCTTGCCTGGCTTTGGCAGCAGGAGCAGTACTGACCCAGGTCACCCCCAGGCCTTTTTCCTGGGGAGGCATCCTTGGGTTCAGACAAATGTTATCACAGCAGTCCCACCTGTGTGAACTTTTCTCCTTGTAGCCTGTGAAATTGAAGAGACGGAGGGCAAGGAGAGGATTTTCTTGGCTGTGCTCACTCAGGAAACCTGCAGATACTTCCAACAAGCTTCCCCTCACAAAAGCTCAGGAACTGCAGTAGGAATGGAGGGCAACTGCAAGGGATAGCCAGTGTGGGTCTCAGCTGCAACAGCTCTGCTTTCCTGCAAGGCACCTCAATAGCAGTGCTGAGCATTTCTTGGGAGTGACTACAGCTACCCAGAATTAGCTTCAGGGGCAGAATTTTTTTGTGAGGGTTTACCCAGCCTCCTTTAATTGCTCAGTAATAAAATTCTCAGAGAGCTGATTTAAACAGGCAAAACTGATATCCTTGTGAAAATGAGTAAGTCCAAGAAAGTTTGATTGACTTGCATAACGTTACATGGGGAATTTGTAGCACAAGTCCACCACCATCTTCATCCAAAGGTGCTCTCTCCTGCCACTCTGTCTGAGGACCAACTGGGAGGTTTGGGCTTCTACAGGAGCCTCGCTGCATGGAGCACAAACCAAACCAATCGGCCTAATCAGCAAGGAATGTGTAAATCTGCTTTCTCTGCTAATTCTACCTAGAAATGCAGATTGGAAGTAGCTGTCAGGATGCCTGGAAACAAGAGGTATCATTGCATGTGTTCCCAATACTTAGCACAGACAGAACTTGGCTTCTTGTACAGACCATAATGCAGCCTTTTTCACAAATCGTTTGAGAGCGAGCTTGTGGCACTAGCAACTGGAAACACTTCCCTTTCTTCAGCAAATGATGCTAGATGAGTTAACATCCTCCTAACACCTTGTCCTTTTCCAGGATGTTCAGCCTTCTGGTATTTTCTTAACATTTTGAATTAGGCAATTAAATTCCTTAGTATCTTGGTGGCATACGTGGAAATAAATAGAAAAATGTTTGGCTTCCACCCAGAGACAAGATATTTAAATGGTGGAAAGTATGTGTGTATTTTTGGGGTTGTGTACTTAGATCTCCACAAATATTTTTAGTTGCTTCCCTGCACTCATGCACAACCATCCCATGCCATTCATCTCATTCCCTCATTCCCCACTTGTAAATTTATTTAGGAAGAGTTGACAGACTTTGGTTTGGCTTCTGCTAGATTTTAAGGCTGCTGCCTAATGTCGTGTGAGACAGGATCTCACAGCAGCGCTCTGGGTGACTGTAGAGAGAAAGGCTTCCGAGGACTGTAATACGCCCCTTCTCTCTGCATAAGCCATCACAGCGCCATGCACTGATGTGTACTCTGAGGTGGTAAGGCAAGCACAAAGTCATTTCCAGACTTAATGCAATTCATGTAATGACCTAAGGAGTCACTGATGTTAAGAATACATATTATTGCATGGGGGAGCTAGAATTAATGCATACTTTGGTATGTCTAAGACATTACCAAGTCATGACCAGTCTTAAACTTAATTCTTATCTAGAATACTTAATTATTCTTAATTATATAGAGAGTGTAATATGAACTGACATTTCTTTTTCTGCATTTTCTAAGGTTATGTCACGATGAGCTGCAGAATTGGCCAACATCTGATTTAAGGGAATTTGACAAGACTACTCTCAGGCTTACCACTTTGAGCAAGCATTTTTCTGATTTTTACGCTCTTAATTTCTCTGTTTCAATGTTTTGCCAATGTTATCTTATTAACTGTTTAATCTCTTGATGTGAGATTTCAATTCTATGAAAAAAGAACAGGGATAGGGAGCTTGTCAGCGCAAACAGTGAGATCTTTGATGTTGAAGTATCAAGTCTGATATGTTCCCAAATGTACTTTATATTCTAATCTGAGATTTCCAGTATTTGGATAATGTTTAGCTCCAACCTGATTCAGAAACTAAAAGCTCAGACACTTCTAAAATTTGAAGCATTAACATCCTTGTGCCCTAGAGGGCCATTTCCAACCTTAAAAGCCCAATTCCAGAACTCCTGAACTCAAGTGATTTCACTTTAAAAGTGCTTGCTCTTTACAACTTCCTGAGAACAATGATAAAAGCCAGGTTAGAAAGTATAACTTTCAATGACATTTTGCAAAAGTGCTGGCCACAGCTTAAAACAGAGAGCATTTTGATGTGCACAGCCAAAAGAAGCAACACTCTGCTGGTTTTGTTCATGAGTCTGAACATTGCAAAATTCAAATCCCAATAAATTTGTTTCAGAAAACTCTGAGCAGCTAAAAAAGACAAAATAGAAGCTACAACTGAATGCGGATGCAGGATATGTGGTTAGTCCCAGATACAAAATTTAACTAGAAACACAGTGTTTTGGTTTTTGTTTTTTTTTAAAGGGTACCTAAAATGATGCTCCCAGAGTCACAGTGATGTACTGGTACGGGCCCTGATGTTCAAGCTGAGGTACCCCCAGCAGTTTCCACATATTCCTGCCAGGAAGGGCAGATGGACTGTGCCTCTGAGACAAGTGTTCAGACCAACGCTGTGGCTCAGGCTGTCAAGCAGGAAATGTATATACACATACATACATATATAAGCACGTGTGTGTGCACGCGTATCCTTTTGGAGCAGAAATCTGAAATTGCCAGCATGAACTAAAAACCCAAGTGATAATTACCCTTTAAATAAATAAATGAACAGGTAAAACTCCAGCTGTGAGGCTGACCCTGGTGGCTTGGCAACAATGAATGGAGTTTTCTGTGCAGTGGCCCCAAGTATTGGGTACTGCTGCAGGATTTCTCTATTCACTTAGTGAATAGACCTCAGTGAACATCCTCATCTTGGGGAAAACCCCAGAACCCCATTAAGTGGTTGAGCCAGCCACAGAAATGGAAAGGCTTCCGAAGCAGAAAGTGAAATAGCAATAGGATGAAGCAGAGAGATGCATTCTGTGCAGAGGAGTTATCTGTTTTGCTGCGACTTGAGGGTCATGTGCTAAATAGTCAGTGGCTCTGTTTCTCTGGGGCCAGTGATAGGGGCTGTGGGGAAACCATGGGCGCTGTGGCGAGCA